GTTCGATGTTTTGGTTGTCAATGGTACAGTTTGATGACTAGTCACTCCATCTGCTGCAACATGTGGAATCGAAGCTAAGGGTAGTTTCAGGTAAAGCACATTTTGAAGGCAAAAGGTGATTTGGACTCAGTTATACAAATGCAATTCAGTACCCATCTTAAAGTCATACATTTTAGTTCTCATTTTAGATTAAATTTTTGTGTATAGTGAAAAAATCAAAACGTAAGGTTAATTTAGGAAGGAGAGAGTCGAGTTGGTAAAGAATAGAGCTTTCTTTATGGTATAGGCTGAGGAGATCAGAATTTCAGGAGCTGGGCGTTATCAGCACTCAACATGCTGACACCAGTGGTTTCCAACATTAATGTCAACATCGTAATTGAGGACTACTGAAGGCTGGCACAGAAATGTTAACAAAACCATGACAACAGGAAGTAAAGCTTTGTAGAAAGGAACTTCATGGAGACACAAATTGTTTTCATGTATTAAGTTTCATCTTCAGTCTTACTGTGTTGGTAAATCTAACTTGATTAAAACTTTTGAAATTTGCTCTCTAGCTTTTCTACAATTAATTCAAATAATTAACCAAGAGAAACTGCACAGAGCTAAAGAATGCTGAGTGAACAATATTGGTGCATCTTGAGAAATTAAGAATAAGCTTGGACAGGAGAATGCAAATTCAGCTCAGCATCATTGATTAGACTATTGTGGAAGCTAAATTATTGAAGCTTCTAAAATACAGAACAGGCTGTTCAGATAAATTTATTCATGTTTTTGTGAAACACGCTTTTTTTTTATTAATTCCCATATCTTCAGAATTAAGAATTTCAATCAGTCAGGAAAAGATGATTCAACAATTACTCGATTTTGAGTACTAGATCTGGAGAGTTTATTTTAGGATAAGGGAAGAACTCTGTAAATATCAACCATCAGTACATGCACCGCCAGCAGACCATCAGGAACCCACCATACAGAGAAACTGAAGCCTGTCCAAGCATTGGCTATTAAGAAACATCTGTTCTCTTGCACTGTCTGTACACCAACCCCCACCCTTTGCCAACACGGAAGCAAGTTCAAGGGTCCCCAAAATAAAGACCTTTCTAAGCAGCCCCTTTAAACATTAAAACCGAATACTTCAGCACCACTAAGGCCAGACAATTGGGGAGTTACTCCTGACCTGATGGGGCATGCATTCACTGAGTTTGCGCTGCGTCCTAGGAAAGGATTAGCATGTGGATATTCAGGACTTACAGAATTCTTATCCCTGGTCACACTTTGCCTATAATGATTGCCATTTTTGGTTTAGGTGCAGTACATTGAATTTTAAGCAAGTCCTGCTTCCTGCACATTGAGATTCCAGTCTGCAATAGCTTGGGTGAGGATATCAGCATATACACCGTCCCTGAGTCTGCTTTCTCCTTAGTACTCAATAAAGCTCTTCAACTCTTTATGTACTGTAACACTTCTGCATTTACACCTGTACCTAAGCAGTTAGCGAAGACAGCTCCCCAGTGTAGTGTCTGAAATCTCTCTTTTCACATGTTCATTTCAGACTGGTGTCTTGTCTCCGACTGATGTCAGAGTCATGTGGTCAGTTCCATCACTGTGAGTTACATGAATTTTGTTATGTCACATCCACGTGACCACCCCCCAAATTTCTGTCTACTGATCTATATTATTTTAGTAGTTTATTTGTACTCATTTGCAAAGCCTTTGTAATCATTAACATCATTTTCACTGTTATCACCATCTTTCCATCCCCTAATAGTTTGAATCTCACACGTCCAGATGATCTGGAACTTCCACTGGCCCTCCCAATCTGGTTCAGTTGTGTTCATCAATAGTATGATGATATTGTACCACATTTGAAATAGTTGTATCACTGTACATACTGTCTGATGTAACATGGGTGTAGCTATCCCATATTCTGTGTTCATCATATTCAGTCTCCTTTCTTGGCTCGAGTAAGATCAATGCCTTCATATTCCTCCTGAATGATCCTTCAGGTGCTCTGATAATGTAAGATCTCAGTTGCCGGGACTGTCTGATGACTGTAGGTTCTGACTTATTGCTCCTTAACTAGACTTTCTGCTCTAGCTTTAAAATTGAATGATTGCATGTTTATCCATGTTGTACCACTTCTGCTGCATTTTGCTGTGAACTGCTGTCAACTTGCTCGTTTTAATTCTCGTGGTCTTGAGAGGTCATCTTTGACCCAAGGTTATGTTCCAAAACTAGTTTGTCTGTTTTTAACCCCTTTTCCATTAGCAATTCTTGTGGTGAATATTCATTAATCAGTGCTTGCACTTTTTGTGTATTTTTACAAATCAGTGACTTCACAGTCTTAGCTTAATTTTCTGCCTATGCTTTTGACTAAGCTTTCCTGAAAGCTTTCCTGCTCCTCTGATGCTGCTTGGCCTGCTGTGTTCATCCAGCTCTACACCTTGTTATCTCAGATTCTCCAGCATCGGCAGTTCCTACTATCTCCAAAATGTAATCTTGTATGTCTTTCACAATGCCTGGCCAGCACACTGATTATTGTGTTTGTCATCCTACTTAATTGTCCTCCATCAAGTCTCCATAAAATTTCTTATCTCATCAACTTTAGTATTACCATTCTATGGTTGTCCACAAATAAATCTTCTATTATTGCAAAGCGTTGTTTCTAATCTTGGTATCTTTGCTGCCCTTGATCTGCTAGGCAATATTCAAAATCTTCCTTGCAGATAGAATTGCCTGAACTATTTGCACTCCGTATCAGATTTTTGAGCTGCACAAATTGGTCTCCATTTCCCTCAGTTATTCCTAACGTCTTGATTATTGTTGTAGAATAAGACTCTATTTCTTCAACAAGATTAGGATCCTCTATTTCTGCTCAATCCACTGCTGCCCTGAGAGTGCACCTGCCATTGCTTACACTTTGCCTTGAACATAAACTGTTCTGTAGTTCCATTTCATTAGCCTAAGCCTGATTTGTTGTATAAGTGGAAGAGTTTTGTGATTTCTTTCTATCCCAATAATGTTACCAATATTACAAGCTTGTGGCTTGTCTCAGTCTCATGAGATCATTAAGAAACTTTTCACACTCCAATTTAACTGCAAACCTTTCTTTTTCAATGACCGTATAACTCTGTTTGGTCTCCATCAAAGCTCTTGACATAAAGTAGATTAGTTCCATCAATTTGTACTTGATTAAGGATTGCTCCTAGCCCTGTGGCCGATACATCTATGGCCAGGAGAGTGATTGCACTACGATGTGTTGACAGGTTAAGACAAAGTAACATCTCTTTGTCAAAAGCTTGTGGTCTGTTCCTGACTGCAATGCCATCGTCGACCTTTCTTCAAAAGCTCCTTTTTGGTGTGAGTAAGACCGGCCCAGGTCAGGATAAACTTTCCTACTTGATCAGCTATTCCTAAGAAGCTTTCTACATTATTTACACAATGTGATATCAGAAATTCACTGCTGACTCTTGTTTTCCTTGGATTTAGTATTGTGCCATGCTATAGGATAGTGTATCCTAGAAATTTAATCATCATTCTAGAGAATTGGCTTCTCACGTTTGGTGTAAGGCCTATGTTCTATAGCATCTTTAATATGGGCTGACACACTGGTCATGTTCCTCCTTTGTTTACAGTGCCCTAAGATGTTATCCATGTGGCACATGATTTCCTGCTTCCCTTTCAGGATGCCCGATATTACCCTTTGGAAAATCTCTGGCACAGAGGAGATCTAAAATGGTGGATGGTTGAAGCAGTACCTCTTGAATGGTGTAATAAAGTAAACCAGTAATCTTGACTCTTTGTCTAAGGATGTCTGCCAAAACCCAGTACTCTCATCTAGTTTCATGAAAAAACTTGCTCGTTGCTAAAATAGATTGGATCTTCCTACCAGTTCTTTTATTAACTGAGTGAGATCCACACACAATCTATGTTCTTCAATCATCTTGCGAACAGTTATTAGCCACAGACACCATTGTGTCAGTTCTGTCACTGGCAAAATGATCCCACTTTTAATCTGTTGCCCATTGGAGAATGAGAAATTTCCCAGAAGTGTACGAACACCTCTTTAATTATTGAAACCTTTGCACAGCTTTGGAAATTCTTGCCCAAATTTTCTCATATATTCATTCTGAAGAACTGTATCCTCTCACTCTAAAAGAATTAGATAATTTACATGTATTTCTGCTCACCAATGAAGTATTCTCAGTTCTCAGTGTATGTTCTCCAAATTATTTTCGGTTAGTGGCTAGTCTTTCAAGTTTTCCGAAGTTTGGAGTCTTCTCCTTTTCCAGTTCTTTTTCTTGAAGTTTTTGGGGCCATCCCTTTTCAGCTATGTAGCTTGGATTCTATTTTAACTTTAGATTCTGGCTCTTGAAATTTTGTCCCTCACTGCCACAATGCTTTATCTTGTCCCTTAAGCTAATCCTGCTCCCTGCAGTTTGATGTATCTGTCTGGAGTACTTCGGGCTGTCAGTGTCTGCTGATATATTGCTTGCTTTTTATCACTAAGTAAATAAGTTTGTATTAATGTAAAACTCCTTTATTTCCACCTGTACATAGTAGGCTAGTGTAGTACCTGAGACCTCTTTCTTCAGAGATTCATTCTAGGCTGATATCTTCTCTATTAGTGATGTCAGGGTCATGTGATAAGTTGTACTATTGCAAATTACATGAATCTCTTTAAACCACATAGACGCTTGTGCCAAAGACCAGAACCTTCCAGGTCCAGACTGTACCATGTTGTTGAAAATTACAGTTTTCAGGGGAGCCCAGTCAGTGAATGGAGGAAGAACCAGGCCAGAAAATGCAGGAGTTATTCTAAATTCAGATTAAATCACACAGTTTGTTCTCTATATTTCCGTTATAAATTTGTAATAGGAACTACCCGTATAAACTTGTCATGCTGGATTATGTCCTCCATTCAAGATCATTGCAATTTAATGTTAATTAATGTGAAACAGTTAGTCAACCTTATTTTTATTGGTCTTTATTATTCTTTACAGAGCATATAAAATGGGAAACGCACTGAACAGGAAGAAGAAGAACTATAAACTGTCCAGTGACAAAGAAGCTGACAAATTGACTGAAGGAACAGCAGCAGAGGATGGAGAGGCAAAAAAGGAAAAGCAGGAAGAAGCCAAAACTTCTGAAGAAGGCGGAAACTCCTCAGAGGCCAAAGATAGTCAGGCTACAAACAACACAGCTGAGACTAAGGAAGAGGATAAAGAAACAGTGAAAAAAGAGGAAATTCAACAACCTGAAGCTGAAAAGCCACAAGCTTCTACAGAAGCTAAAACAGAGCCTCTGCCTACAGAACCCACTGCAGAAAAGCCAACAGAACAATCCGAGGTTGCCCCTGCCAGTAGTTCCGCAGAAAGTCAGTCTTCAGCAGTCCCTGAATCCAGCACTGAAGTGACATCCACTCAGCCCTCTGAAACCCCAACACCTGCTCCCGAAAGCAAAACAGAAGGCAATTGCTCAAGCATGGTTGAAGTGGAAGCCAAACAGACTGAGGTCTCATCTACTCTTGTGGATCAAGAGGAAAGTAAAAAAGCAGAGCCCCAGAATTTGGACTCTGCCTCAAGCACCACTGATGCTGTTTCTTCCCAGGAGATACCAGCAGTAGATGCAACCATCTCTACTCCAGCTGTTCCTGAAGCCTCAGACAGTGCTACTCCAGCAGATGTTACAACTTCAGAGAATTCTTCAGCCATTACTGATCAAACGTTAGCTGTGCAAGAATAATGGATAATCTCATTCAACAACCATTCACAATCTGCATTGAATTCCAACTGTACTAACAAACTTGATCCACTGTCTTATACCAGAAAACATCCAAACATCCCGTACTTAGAAATTCCATCAGGATATTTCAAACAACCTTTGGAAAATTGCTGGACTTAAATATTGCTGTCTGGAAGTTGAGTGAATGGAATGAAAATCTGCTCAACAGCTGTAAATGATGTGCCTCACTGATTCAAACCAACATAGTGAATAATGTATATGACTCTGCTGAGTGATAGTTAGTGGAACTGTGCCAAACCAATCAGATCTTCAGATGACATCTTTCTTTGTATTCCCACCTAATTTTACACAGTGAGGTATGATCAGCTGTTAGATATAGACCACCATGTTCCCTTCCTCATGACACACCAGAAACAATAGTTTTGTCTCAAAGTTACTTCAGACTAACATATACTTCTCATTGTACGTTGCCTATCTAGATTTCTCTTGATCAGTTAATGCATGTCCGTTGTTGGGTGCACCTGTAGTTCTGTTTCACAGTAAGTTGCAAACAAATCTGCATTCATTGCAATTCCAGCTTCTCCTCCATTCAATGTCACTAATGCCTCCACCACCACAGCACATGTTGAAAATGATGAGAATTGTAAAATGGATGCATTGGAGTTATATGTGATTGTATTAATGGTGCAACAGTAATAAAAGTCATGTAAAAATAACCAAAGTGGTTTGAAATTATTTTTATTCTAACTCATAACCCTGTAACAATGATGCAATTTGGCTTTTTGAAAAAAGCACAGTATAATCTTTTTGAGACATTGAAATGCCATAGTATCTTGTATGTTGGAGTTAATTAGGGGAATATTGTTTGTCAGTTTCTCGAGAGATATGATATCATTATGAACATCATTTTTTTGCCATTTACTATTTTTATGAATTTATAAAAAGAACTAAACCTAGGAAATAATCTGTTACGGACTGTATAAACGGGCTTTCCTCCCCTGCTTTTGCTCCACTGTACATCAGGCAAATGAGCCTTTTACATCTCATCCATTTGAAATTGAGGTCAATTTCTAAGTTCAGATATTTTAACAGCTTTTTTTATTCATTTGTGGGATGTGGGCATCACTGGCTGGCCAGTATTTCTTGCCTATCCCTAGTTGCCCTTGACCTATTTACAGGTTAGTAAGAGAAATGTTAATTCCTGTTGGCTGAAAGACCTGAATGATAAAAGAAACCCTTAATATCAGCAACAGAAGAGAATGTTCTCCATTCCTTCTCTCCCTTCTTGCTGGCCCATAATAATTTAACATGTACCTTTTTGGAGGGCTGAAAAAATTGCTGGCTTCTCCCTTTGAGGTCCTTACTTTGGTAGAGCTGATGATGGTTTGTCTGTAAGACCCACATCACATATCACCTGCACACTGCTCAGTTCAGTCGTGAAAATTCATTGCTCCATTCATCTATGTTTAATTCAAAGGCTTTGCACATTGAGGAATGCCACAAGTAATGCAAAGTGACAGAGGCCTGGCATTATGTTAGAGGTTACTGTGCGTCACATTGAAGAAGCAACATGCAGAGTTAGGCAGAGGAGCAACTGACCAAAATGTGGTACCTAGTTCTTTCATACCCTTTTTCATTTTCCTGTTATGAAACATTATTTTTCTATCCTCAATAACAAAGAAAGTATACATTTACACAATAATTTTCATAAGCCATCCCAAAGGCCTTACAGAAAATGAAGTTGTTCTGAAATGTAGCCACTGTTGTAGGGAATTGGGGAAGCAATTTTTGTACAGGAAGCACTAAGAAACAACAACATGATAAAGAACAGAAAATCTCTTTTAATAAATATTTATAGGACACCAGAGAAAACTCCACTGTTCTTCTTAAGAGACAGCAAATGTGGGTTCAGCTTAAAGTCTTATTCAAAAAGTGGATGTTGACTGGCAAACAGAGAAGCTGTTACAACTCTGAAAGTGAGGAGAGGGAACTCTATTGTTTATCTCTGAACAAGGAGAAGTCAAGGGAGTGTGCACAAGACTTTGCCAGGAAATTGGGCTTCTCTAACAGGCAGGGTACCATCAACTACACATACATTGCTTCATGGACAGCAAATCTCAAAGCTGAAATATACGAAAATTCAAAGGAGGCCTTTCACTCAGCTGAGTTGATATGTGTGACCATTCTCAACTGATAAATGCCGACTAACCTGACAGCACTCACAGTGCGTTCCCATGCCAACCCACTGTACCAGGAATTTTTCAGCAACCGGTTGAACCAGGGATGGTTGCTTGGTTTACAAGGACAACTTGTTATAAACTTGGCTGATGATAGTCTACACCACCCAACCACCTGTGTCCAACCACTGTACCATTAAAAAGATCATCAAGCAGAAAATCAAGCTCGTGAAAAAGATTGGATGCAGGGAGGATTCTTTTTCCCCTGGTTCAGCAATCTAGAACCAGAAGACACAGTTTCAGGGTACAGAGTATACCATTTAAGGCTAAGATGAAGAAACATTTGTTCATTCCATTAGTGGAATTTTTGACCACATAAGGCTCAGGGGCCAAGACACTGAATATTTTCCAGAGAGAGATAGATCCATTTTTAGATTTTAAGGGCATCAAGAAGAATGGGGTGAAAGCAGGAATTTAACATTGAGATAGAAGATCGGCTGTAATTATATTGAATGGCAGAGCAGGTTCAAAGGGTCGAATGGCCTAATCCTGCTCCTAATTCCCATGTTTCTATGTTTTGCGACTAATGCTGCTCAAGGTACTTGGCTATTCATTGGACTGGGATTCACCATTTCGAGTGGTCTATTCTATTCCATATGAGGTCGCTATTGTATAAATGCCACAATTGCCACCACAATTTCAGCAAAAGCTTCAAGTGATGGAGGAAGATGAAGAGAAAATGGAGAAAGAAGATGCAAATGGGAAAAATTGACAAATGGATTTCAATATAGGAAAGGTGAGATAATCTATTTTGATGCTAAAAAAGGATAAAAAAGGGAAATACAAAGTAATCAGCCTCTACAAACCTAATTCAAATAAAACATTTTATTCATCTCTTATGGACCAGACTTAACCTCCTGAAAATACATCAAGGAGATAGCCTAGACCCTAACTTTTACGTTATTTAAAGTCAAGTGTAAGGTGTTGTGTTGCAGATGTAATTCAATTGGTTACGCTACTTAGCTTTTAAGCAAAATACACTATTTTCTTACTCTACTGTTAAAATACAAACAAAAGAAAGAAGAATTGGTATGAATTTAACTCTATTGGAAAACTTAACAGAATAATAAATTATTTAACTATTAAACAGCAACTGCTCCAATATAGTAACATCCCATAAACACACCCTTGGCAAAGGCAAATTCAGTAAAATAGATTGCCTGACATGCAATGTTTCTCCAGCCCAGGAAAAAGAACATCAGGAGAAAATTCTGGCAGAGAGAGAGTTTTGCTTTGGGGGAGAGATACATAGCAGCTTCAAAAGCTATGAGGAGTAGTTGGAGAAATTTGGGTTGTTCTCACTGAAACAGCGGAGATTGAGGGGCAACCTGATAGAGATCTACAAGATTATGAAGGGCATGGACATATCGGATTGTCAGAAACTTTTTTCCCAGGGTGGAAGAGTCAATTACCAGGGACCATCAGTTTAAGGTTGGAGGGGCAAGGTTTAAAGATGATGTACAAGGCAAGTTTTTTACACAGAGGGTGGTGGATGCTGGAACTCGTTGGAAGCAGATACTGTAGTGACTTTTAAAGGGTGGTTTGACAAATACATGAATATGATGGGAATAGAGGGATATGGTCCCCAGAAGGGTCGGGGGTTTTAGTCGTGATGGGCAGCATGTTGGTGCAGGCTTGGAGGGTCGAAGGGTCTGTTTCTGTGCTGTAATTTTCTTTGTTCTTTATTGTTCTAAAACCCCAACAACTGCTGAAAGCTAAACCCAAACCCTGGTTCCCTGGGAGCCCAACTCCACCCATTCAAGCTGCTCCTATTGTTCTAACTTTAAAAAAAAACCCAAGGCCACACAAGATATTTATGAGTTTGGAGGATTCAGCTCAGCACCTATGGCTCAAAATCTCTCTTCAAAAAAAGGACAAAATACACCTCTTAAAGCTATAGTGTCATCACACATATGATGCTTGATTAATCATCCAGTGTACCCCTTCAGTGCCTGTACTGTATGGCAGCTTTGCTTGAAAGTAGTGTTAACCTAGTAGTTGCAATATGGTGTTGAAATGCTTCTGATGTTTATAAGGGGAGTCTGCAGATGGCCATGTAGGACACTGTTGAATATTCTGGCCCTTGTGTATCTAGTTTTGAACTGCACCATCTCAGTGTGGGTAGATGAAGGCTATACTGGCCAATAGTGCAGTGGTAAATGGTAGAAACATAAATCCTGTCACTCTGAGATTACAGCAGCTTCCTGTTTTGTGGACCGTCTCTGGGACATGCCTCAGAAATTCAAGTAATCTGTTAGTGCATATATTGTTGGATTTTGTGAGACCTTGAAAGCTATTTTACCCATCCAGACATCCTCAGCCAGGAACCAGCAATTTGAGCCCACATAACCCTGAGTGAACATACCATGACCTAGTCTGAGTGTCCACTGCAACATCCAGATATTGGGTGACTTCTGACTGTGCCATGTTGGAGCCACGCTTTATGATTCTCCTTACCAATGACTGCCTGCTCTCTGGCAGCCTTGTCAATGCACTAAGCTTTATTTTGTACATGTCCTTCAGCTTTTTCCTTTACATTGTTCTAATTCTATTAGGGACCTGAAATAACTCCACAGAGGTCAGTATCCCATCACCAAGTCACTCTTTATTTACATGTGGAGAGTCCTTGACACTGATCCAGTTCCCTCAGAGCCAATTCTCAGAGTGAACAGGATGTCTGACCACTCTTTTTCTTATCTGTCAGCCAGGGGTCCCTGACTGGACCAGATTAACAGCCCCAATCAGGGGATTCATATTCTATGGGTCCACCTGGCTGATCTCATTACAATCACAACAGGACCATTAATATTTAAAGAAGAAATTCAAACCCTTATAACTAACCGACAGAACCAAACTACAAGCCCTACAACATTTAATAAAATATCATTTTTGTCCATTAATAAAATGTAGGAAAGTGGCTTTAATTTAGAAATATAACTTATAAAAAATCTGCTATAAATTTAGTTCTTCTTTATATTTATCCCCAGTGTTCCCATATCTTAACAAATGTTTGAGGTCTGTTCACATTTTCAAAGCATGTAGGTCTGGGTAGTGCAGTAGATTTAGTTTACTTGAATTTCATCAAGGATTTTGACTAAGTATTGAATGGGACAACTGATCCGGAAGGAGAAAGCCCCTGGGATCCAGGGTAATTTGATAAAGTGGATCCATGTTTGGCTTGGTAGCAGGAAGCAAAGTTGTTTCCTGAAGGTTGTTTCTATGATTGGAAGCCTGTGGCCAAGGGCATACCACAAGGTTTGGTGCTAGGTTCCTTGACGTTTGTAGTGTACATTCAGTATCTAGACACAAATATAGAAGTTAAGATTAGTGAGCTCACAAATGACTCAAAAATTGGTGCTCTGTAAATAGTGAGGAGGAAAGCCTTAGATGATGGATGATACAAATGGACTGATCAGATGGACAAAAATATAGCAAGTGGAATTTAATCTGGCAAACTATTTTGGGAAAACTAAAAAGGC